GTTGAAAGAATCACCTTCTTTTAAAGATACTGGTTTCAGATTGCTGTATATGTTAGTTATATCCTTACTACAAGAAGTAATTTCTTCAAAATATGTTGTCAAATCGATATTATTTTCACTAAAATCTTCCATGATTGCTATACAAATTTTTTTGTTGGCGTTAAACCTATTAAGAAAAGAAAGTTTGAGTTGTAAAAATAAATTTGAAAAAAAAACTGATTTATAAGCAAAGAAAGCATAAGTCATAACAAATTTCAAGCAAAAAAGGATATTTGAAAACCTGACACGCAAATTCTGATAGTCATAAACCAGACCAATTATCAAACCGACAATACAATATCCAAATAACGCATGAGTTATTCCATATTTCACCAACTGCTAGACCTGCTTTGTCTATAGCACTTCTACATTTCTGCAAGAAACCCCGTTTTTAAAAAACTGGTTTCGCTTTGAAATACCTAAAGAAAAGGCACAATAATGCAATTGAGCACAACAATGCATATAAAAAAAAATCACAATAATGCAATTGAGCACAACAATGCATATTTACGCATGGGTTAAATTCCCTACTTGACCAAGTACTAGCCCGCTTTCTATATCACTTCTACATCGTGTTGAAATACCCTAAAGAAAAGTCACAAAAGTAAATTAGCTTCGTAGTGCAATTGAGTGCACCAACGTAAGTGAAATTCCTACTTGACCAACGCTTTTCTATAGCTCTTATACATTTATGCATTGTTAAAAGCCATTTTCACTTTGAAATACTCTAAAAGAAAGGTTAAAAAAGTGAATTAGTTTCATAATGCAATTTGAGCGACGCAATGCGTAATGACATGTGAGTTAAATTTCTATATTTGACTTACTGCTAGACCGCGTTGCCTATAGCACTTCTGCATTTCTGCAAACAAAAGCCGTTCTTGTTCTTATCTTGAAATAATCTAAAAACATATCAGAAAAGAATATTAGTTCATAATACAGTTGTGCAAACGATATTAAAATTTCATACTACAAACTGTATTACCGGTAAATTATTACAATAAAAATTTTTTTGATCAGCATCACATGTGTTACATATGATATGTTGATCTGCATCATGTGAGGGGTGCACCATGGTGCACGGCGCACCAAAATATAATTCCCTTTAAATATATTTATTTAGTGCCAAAAATTATAATATATTAGTAATATATTATATTATATATAGTTGCCTCTTTCTAATCTGAACAGGCTATCCCAAGAGATTTTGTTTGGTATAGAAAAAGTTTAAAATATAAAATTTTTCTTTTTAAACCAAATACTAATAAAAATTTAGTTATAAAAAGTAACTAATAAAAAAATTTTAATAAGTCTGTTTGATGCATAATCTGCTATATAGTATAATATATATTGTATAAAAATATATAAAAAAAACTTAAAAAAAAAACTGTTTTATACTATTTTTTTTTATTTTTTTTTGTATTTATTACCCATCAAATTACTATTATCTAACCCAGATCATGATCTAGTTTCGTCAGATCACTATTTCTAACTCGAGTTATGGTCTGGTTTAAATATCTAACCTATCAGATTACTATTATTTGATCTGGGTTATAACTTAGATTAAATATCTGGCCTGCCAGGTCACTATTATCTGACCTGAGCTAGAACACTAGTTTAATTAATTATATAGAATAAATTTTATTCATATGGGCCAGTGCAAAAAGATTTGTACTTCAAAAAATTTTATAATTTTGATACTAAAGAAATTTTTTTTCTTAATTAATTATTAAAAATTTTTTAGTATCAAATATAATAGGTTTTAATCTAACTTATTATATTATTTTTATTGTTTTAATATTGTTTTATTTTAATAATTGAGCATGTACAATTTACTGTATTTGAAAAAAAACAAAAATTTTTATTAAAAAAAAAGATATTTTAAATAATTTTGCAACCAATATGCAGTTCTATGAGCTTGTACTTCACAAGTGTATTAATGTGCATATGATAAAGATATGGTTAAAATTTAAGCAAAATTAATCACTAGTTGTGAAGAAATTAAGCTTTAAAGTAAGGTAAGGCCACTCTAATTTAAATCTATATTTAACATAACCTCCCCTCTCAATTGAGCAAATTATGGGGGGGTTAAACAACATATATATATATATAACTTTTAGATTCAAATTTCATTTTCCATATTACTAAAATGAACCTATACAGAAAGATCACCAAAATTAGAGTATCTGCATGATACAGTCATGCTAAACCTAGGAATATTATATAAGTTAGTTAGAATTAATTAGTAAAATTTTATAAATTATAAGATTTTATAGAATTTTATTAATAAAATTTTATAAAATCTTATTATACACAAATTTTTTATTAATTAATTCTAACTTTATGCACTAAGTAAACATATATAGCACTTAAACATACATCAAATCAGCAGGGTTAGTTTTATTTTACTTGAAATTTGAATAATAGATGCATAATTTTAGATTTTTGATCAAAAAAATCAAATTTAAGCATCTTTTCTCCAAATTTCAAGTAACATAAAAGCAATACTACCAATTTGATATATTTTTAGGCTCTAAACAAGTTTACCTAGTGAAATAGGTTAGAATTAACTAGTAAAATTTTATGAATAATAAGATTATATAGAATTTTATTAATAAAATTCTAAAAAATCTTAAAATTCAAAATATTTTACTAATTAATTCTAACTTATAGCACTAGATAAACTTGTTCAGAGCCTAAAAATACATTAAATCAGTAGTCTTGCTTTTATTTTATTTGAAATTTGAAGAAAAGATGCTTAAATCTAACTTTTTTGGTCAAAAATCCAAAATTATACATCTATTCTCCAAATTTCAAGTAAAATAAAAATAACTCTGCTAATTTAATATATTTTTAGGTGCTATACATGTTTGCTTAGTACATAAAGTTAGAATTAATTAATAAAAATTTGTATATAATAAAATTTTATTAAATTTTATTAATAAAATTTTATAAAATCTTATGATTTATAAAATTTTACTAATTAATTCTAACTTAAACTTGTTCAGAGCCTAAAAATACATCAAATCAGTATAATTGTTTTTATTTTACTTGAAATTTGGAAAAAAGATGCTTAAATTTGACTTATTTGTCAAAAATCCAAAATTATGCATCTATATAGATAGCGGTGAAATTAAATTTCAATTTTGTAAATTTCAACGGTTAAAAATTAAATTCAACTGTTGAAACCGAAATTATTTTCAACAGTTGAAATTAATTTAATAGTCAAAATTAATTCAACAGTTGAAATTAAATTAACTGTCAAAATTAATTCAACTGTTGAAATTAAATTAACTGTCAAAATTAATTCAACTATTGAAATTAAATTAACCATCAAAATTAATTCAACTGTTGAAATAATTTAATACAACGTAGTTAATATATATAGTGACTAGACTCGTATTAATTTGTGACTCACTCTGAAGAGTGCTCGAATTATTTGAACTTCGAGTTTTATTCAAGTTATTCGAGTCATATAAATTAATTATCATAAATAGCTAATTGAGAGTTACAAAAACATACTTTAATTCATGTATTATAAAAAGCGAATTTATTTAATTATAAAAATAAACTCAAATTACAAATTACAAAGCAGATACAATGGTTAATTATATTAGTCATCATTATATGAGACACCACACTTTTTTCTATCATTCAATATAATTTTATAGGTCGAAGTTATACCATCTTTTTTTCAAAATAGTCCTAGCGAAACTTTTAGGACGACCTTCAGAATTATATGTAGTTGTACTTTGACTAATTTTTTCGTAATAAGATTCTTCATGCTCATTGTCACTTTCGTTTTGCGCCATATTTGTATGATGAATTATTTTTAAAAACCTTGATTTATTTTATTAGAAATTCGCAATTACAATTGAATTTCATAAGAATTGCGATCATGTAATTATTACTTATAGATGGGGTATATAGTTATTTTAAATTTTAATTATATTATAGTACGTAATTGCTAGTATACGTTAATAATTAACTCGTATGAGTTGATTCGAAGAATGATAAATATATAGCTATCATTATAAAAATGGTTACTCCGAAATTGGGCATATCAATATTTATGCAGTGTAATGTAAATAGAAAAATTAGAATTCTTATAATTGATAGCACTCTGCTGGTAATACAAACCTTAAATTCCTGCGTCCTTGCATGTTTCCCCTTCCTGTAAATAACTCGATGAATCATACAATAAATATTCATTTGATTAATAATAGTAAGTACGATCACTATAAAAATTTTCTTTTTTTTTTATTATTATCTTTCAGAATTGCACTAACTAAATGTGTTATGAAATGCATCATACTATATCAATATTTACTATATAGATGGAATGACGATTGAAGTACTATAAAATAGAAATTATTTCACACTCTTTCGTCTTTGCTCCACTACCAAGGATAATATAGGAAGTTTACGGTAAATTTCCTAAAAGTTATTTCCCTGACAGGCCACTTATTCAATATAACTGACAATCTAAGCTAAAATGTATAGGGTTTACTAATTCCTCCAAGTTCCTTTTTGTCTCTTATAAATCAATGCTTGGATGGCTTAAAAATTAATGTAGAAAGTATCGATTTGAATAATTGGTTTGTATTTGTTATTTCTGTAAAAGTAAATGTTTATTTAAATATTTCTTCTTACTTATTAATACTAGTTCTCTAGCTTCACAATCGAATAAAAAAAATACTTCCGAAGCCTTATTTCAGCCACAACTAACCAAATACTACCCCTAATCTTATGTGATGTCAGGCAAGTATCCTGTTGGGGAAATAACTTTCGGGGAGTTGAGCGACAACCTCTAACCTTATTTTTCAGTGGCTTGTCAATTCTTTTATATTATACTTACATATTTCATTTTAATCTGATCCGTTACAATAATTTTTATGTTAAAACTAGGGAATTAAGCTGAGTGCTTTATTTAATTTAGAGTGCTCCCAAGCATCTAAATTAAGAGGTCAGAAAGGGATTCGAACCCTTGCGTATTACTCCAAACAGTTTTCAAAACTGCCCCTTTTGGCCTCTCGGGCATATCTCCATGTATTGAATTGGTTCTATCAAAATGGAGGGGATGGTAGGATTCGAACCCACATGGATTGCTCCAAATGGTTTTCAAGACTGCCGCTCGAGTTCAATTTTTAATTAGTGGAAAATAACTTATTCAATCGCGTTTATTATCGCAACAAGGTAAAATGTCATGCAAATTCTGTGGGTCTTGTGTTAGTTGTTACATAGAATATCATTATATGTTGTAAGTGGAAACGGAATTTAAGTGGATTCGGAATTTCCTAGTTAAATTAAGGTTAGGGTATGGGTGCATAAGATAAAATCAACCTTGAATGCTGGCTTATATAATAATTCCAAATCCGCTTAGATTCCTACAATAATTATATGAAAAGTAAAATCTGCGCAGAGGGGATGATTTTCTTGGATTGTATCAATAATTAAATATTTCTGCACATGTTTCAAAATGGGTTTCTTTAATAAAAGGGATCCTCATTAATATTAAGCTATTTGGATTGCTTTATAAGTGATATTTAGCGAGATCATAATAAAAGTTGATATATGCGAAGGGATTTTTAATATAATCGTTATTTTTAAAGTAATAATACGATTTTTTATATACAAGCTAAAGGGAAAAATGTTTGGTAAATATTAATTAATGTTAAGGTAGTAAAACAAATATTTTATTATTTTAATGATATAGTCTTTACAGAGCAGTAAAAATACCAGAAAATCAATCTCATTAATAGATTAAAAGTTAGCAGTAAATGATTGGCTTAGCAAAACACAAAATAAAGCAGGTTTTTTAATTTAGCAATTATCATTTCATCTAGATGGTAAAAAATCCTAAAGTAAAAATTAAAAAGATCAAAAAAATAACCAAATTTTAAATAAACTTTTTTTTCTATTTTTATATACTAAATAACTTACTCAACGGGTAACAATATTAAGCAGAATCCATGTTAACTTAATAATTTTTGTTAACAAATCAACACAAATTATATAAATTCACCGAATTTTAAGTATTACCAGAGAACTATAAGTTGAAGAGCAAGAGGATGAGAATCGTTTATATAAAATGCAATCAATTTTGTGCATTTTTTACATCAAATAGAGTAAAAATGCAAATTCAGAAAATTTGTATTTCACATTTTTCAGTTGAGTATGTAATTTGATATTAATTCTTAATTCAGGGCATCCTCGACCTTGAGAGAGAACTAACTGACCTTTTTCAATCTTAAATCCATGTTGAGGATAAGTGAACATTCAATTTTTTTTAAGTGAAGGGAACTCAAAGGAAATTATTAAAGAAAGTCATAAAAAAAAAGATATCTTTTTCTATAATAGAGTTGTGCTGATTGGCTAAAATTCAATATCCGCGTTTCGCAATATAAATTTTTGATAAAATTACTGTTAGTATTAGTACTTGTGCATGATCTCTATAATTAATATTAAGTAAGAACCCTTAAACTGTTAATTTTAATTTCAACTGTTGATTTAATTTTAACAGGTAATTTAATTTTAACTATTGATTTAATTTCAACCATTGATTAATTTCAATGGTTGATTTAATTTCAATGATTGATTTAATTTCAACTGTTGATTTAATTTTTGTATGTAAATTAATTTCAACAGTTGAAATTTAATTCGGCATCTCAATTTTAAAAAATTTTTGGTTAAATTATTTCAGCAATTTCTACTGTAGAATGTAGAAATTATCACTCTAATTTCACCACCATCTATTTGCATCTATTCTCCAAATTTTAAGTAAAATAAAATAACTCTGCTGATTTGATGCATTTTTAAGTGCTAAATATGTTTACTTAGTGTATAAAGTTAGAATTAATTAATAAAAATTTGTGAGTCTGAGTCTGGTCTGGACCTGAACTGAACCTATTCTGATCCTGGCTGATCCTGAACCAGACCTAATCATTTGTTGTTTAAATCCCCCCTCTAAAAAATTTTGAACTTGTTTTGTTAAACAAAGAATTAAATAAGAGTGGCCTAATTTGATTTTTTTTTACTATATATGTGCATATATAAATTACTATAGTAAATTATATAGTAAAAAAAATAAGTTAGTATTAATAAATTTTTTTATTTTATTAATAAAATAATCAAAATAATTTTATTTTTATCAATCCAGTAACCTAATAAATATATTAAATTAAAAAAATTAAAAATTAATTTGTACAAAAAATATTTTAATCAGAGCTATTTGAGGTAAAATCTTTTTGCATCAGCCCATAATACAAAATAAATTTATTTAAATAAAAAATTATATATACTGATTAATTTGAGTTCAGATTTGAAATAGAAATTTATTATATTAATTTGATATATCCAAAAAAAATATATATAAAATATTGTTCTGAAAGTTTTAGTTTAGATTATTAAGAGTTCAGTATATAGAGGGCCAGATTAGAAAAAAGCAATTGTATATATATATATATTTTAAAGATGAGGCCTTGCTTGTATCTTTATTGAATAATTTATATAAAAAGTTACAGTATATAAAGACTCTATAAACTACTTAAATTGTACAATGACAAATACATATAAATTACATTCAAGAATAGAAACTCAGACTATTATTTGTAATCTAAACTTACTAAAGTAATCAAGACTCATTTAGATTTAGATAGTTAAAATATAATTAATAGGAATACTGTATTTGATCTACATAGTAGACCAAATACTGATTTTGCAGATTGCTTTGCCTATTAGTAAGCATATATTGTGGCTAGAAAAAAATTGGTTAGAGAGACCACAAAGGCAGCTATAGGTAAGTGCTTTATATTGTTAGAACTCAGCACAAAAAATATTATTATATATATAATTATATATATTATATATATGTAATCTACATTTTATAGACTAGTATTGCTTGGAAAACTCTTATTAGACCAAAAACTTGATAAAAGAAATGTCATCTAGTTGCAAGTACTAAGATTTTAGTACATTAACTCTGAGACATTTACAGTAGTTCAACTTACAAGAACCAAAAAACACAAAGCAGCAATTAGAGCTACACTTATAATAACCTTAACTAAAGACAACTTATGCCCATATTATGCAATGCACCTCCATCATATGATATGCATCCAGTTGCAAACTATACTTTTTCTAAGCAATAATAGCTCATGTGCTACAAAATGATAGTTTTGCAAAAGTATGATCATTCCTTTTTAACACTAATATATTAAGGCACAGCTTCAAAGCAGATAGTACTACAGAATTGGTAATATAGGTTGCAATAATCATGATTCAAAAAGTTGGCCAGTGGGATTCAAAAACATTTTATAGATATATATGAGCACACTCTATCATAATTACACACCCATTGAAATACTTGCTGGCAAAACCTGAACAAATTCCAAACTTCTAAAAAGTAATTGCTGTTTGTAAAAAATTAAATCAAACATCAATTACTTTTTAGGGGTTTGGGATTTGTCTGGATTTTGCCAGCATGTATACCTATTGATAGAAACATTCAGTGTGTGACTTCACAAAAAAATTAATACTTTAAAACAAATTCAATTACATACTATATTGGGGTGGTCTGTTAACTAAGTAAATCAAAACTCTATGTAGTCACTAATATTTGAACTTATAGCAATTTTTTATTGAATTAAAATATATATATAATTAAGAAGTTTAATATGCTTTGAATAGGTGTGATATGCTTATATATTGCACTTTAAATTGATTGTCTAAATTTGCAAATTATTATTTTTAAAAAAATAAACAATTTCTGTTAAAATTCTTTATATTAAAAATTAGCCTTAAAATTTTTTGTACCTATATGCAAAATTTAGTGCTGAACAAGTTTACTTAATTGAATTAGAAAGATTGTCTTAAAAAAATTTAGAAAATCTTTAAAAAATGAGTTAAAAAATGAAAAATTGCAAATATCTTTAAATTTTATTAAGATAACTGTCATGGGGTTTTTGGTACCAATGTGATTAGTGATCAGGTACGCATATAATCAAATGTCATGATCAGATAATCGTGATTCATTAGAAATTAGTATAATGATTGCATGAGCGATGATTATAGTATGATGCAAGTGTATTAGTAATTAATAAATAGGGCATTGATCCTAAGGGGAAGTGCCTAGCTTTCACACTCTTAATAGCTTTTAGCTTAAGCTTTGTGCTCACCATAACTTTGTGTTAATGAAATGTATATCTCTTAGTGAATAAACTGTTAGTGAAGTGTGTCAAGTTAATAGAATAAGTGCCAAGCGAGACTACAAAATTAATATAAACATTTGAGTTAGATATTAGAACCGGTGAGACTATTAACCCTTTGACAGAGAAGGACCTGGGTAAGAGAAAAGTCTTATTCGCAAAGTATATTGGATTTTGGTGTACTAGTGCTAAGTGCAAAGATGGGAAGTCTTACCTGCTGTGACCAGTGAATTTGAAGCGCCTTGGTAGCAAAAGACTCTTAACGAAATTGGAGACGAAAAAAAATGGAAGAAAATAATCTTTTAGTGCCATTGGTTGTGAAAATGGTGACTGAAGTTATAAATAGCTTGAAGAAGGAGCAAGTAAAGCAAAATTGTCATAGACTGCGATTGTGTTATGTATGTCGACGTCCTGGACATTTAGCTTGCAATTGTCCGAATCAAATAAGGTGTGGACATTCTGAACATTACATAAAAGTATCTAAAAATAGAAAGGTGAATGTTAATATTTGTGATAAAAAGAAAAAAAGAAAAAATGATACTTATCTGGGTGATAATGTTGGTGTAAGATCTCTCCGAGTTGTGGATGCAAAAGATGAAATTATTAATGAAAAGAAAATCTGATACGAGTAAAAGAAATAAATAAAGATTGTAATGAAATACCAGGAAAGATAGTGAAGATTAATAGAGAGACTGCAAAAGCAACCATTAGAATTAGTTCATCTTCGAATATAATGAGCATGAGGTATGTGAAAGAAAAAGGACTTACATGAAAATGTTTGAATCGAGGTAATGAAATCGTTGGATATGTCCCGAGTGTTGAAGTTGATGTCAATGGTTCA